CACCATATGTATCTAATACCGCAGTTCAAAATATATGAACTTCATATATTTCATTGTATCTGATTTATCACTTTCACGGGTTTATTACGAATCAACTTAACGGCCTGCTCCCAGTTGGCTTGTTAGCTCAATTGGTAGAGCGCTGCACTAGTATCGCAGAGGTCAGTGGTTCGAATCCCGTACAGGCCTGATTTTTTTCAGGTCTGATTTTCGCTATTGCTTAAATAGCGCTATCTACTGCGAGGATCGTGCATCATACGTATCTAATACCGCAGTTCAAAATATATGAACTTCATATATTTCATTGTATCTGATTTATCACTTTCACGGGTTTATTACGAATCAACTTAACGGCCTGCTCCCAGTTGGCTTGTTAGCTCAATTGGTAGAGCGCTGCACTAGTATCGCAGAGGTCAGTGGTTCGAATCCCGTACAGGCCTGATTTTTTTCAGGTCTGATTTTCGCTATTGCTTAAATAGCGCTATCTACTGCGAGGATCGTGCATCATACGTATCTAATACCGCAGTTCAAAATATATGAACTTCATATATTTCATTGTATCTGATTTATCACTTTCACGGGTTTATTACGAATCAACTTAACGGCCTGCTCCCAGTTGGCTTGTTAGCTCAATTGGTAGAGCGCTGCACTAGTATCGCAGAGGTCAGTGGTTCGAATCCCGTACAGGCCTGATTTTTTTCAGGTCTGATTTTCGCTATTGCTTAAATAGCGCTATCTACTGCGAGGATCGTGCATCATACGTATCTAATACCGCAGTTCAAAATATATGAACTTCATATATTTCATTGTATCTGATTTATCACTTTCACGGGTTTATTACGAATCAACTTAACGGCCTGCTCCCAGTTGGCTTGTTAGCTCAATTGGTAGAGCGCTGCACTAGTATCGCAGAGGTCAGTGGTTCGAATCCCGTACAGGCCTGATTTTTTTCAGGTCTGATTTTCGCTATTGCTTAAATAGCGCTATCTACTGCGAGGATCGTGCATCATACGTATCTAATACCGCAGTTCAAAATATATGAACTTCATATATTTCATTGTATCTGATTTATCACTTTCACGGGTTTATTACGAATCAACTTAACGGCCTGCTCCCAGTTGGCTTGTTAGCTCAATTGGTAGAGCGCTGCACTAGTATCGCAGAGGTCAGTGGTTCGAATCCCGTACAGGCCTGATTTTTTTCAGGTCTGATTTTCGCTATTGCTTAAATAGCGCTATCTACTGCGAGGATCGTGCATCATACGTATCTAATACCGCAGTTCAAAATATATGAACTTCATATATTTCATTGTATCTGATTTATCACTTTCACGGGTTTATTACGAATCAACTTAACGGCCTGCTCCCAGTTGGCTTGTTAGCTCAATTGGTAGAGCGCTGCACTAGTATCGCAGAGGTCAGTGGTTCGAATCCCGTACAGGCCTGATTTTTTTCAGGTCTGATTTTCGCTATTGCTTAAATAGCGCTATCTACTGCGAGGATCGTGCATCATACGTATCTAATACCGCAGTTCAAAATATATGAACTTCATATATTTCATTGTACTGATTATTATTATTATTATTATTATTATTATTATTATTCTGACAATCAGTGTAGCCGAGTAGCAGACCACTACACATTTTTCAATTAAACACACCAGCTCCAAAGATGCCTTTTTTCCCTTCGTAAATACTTAAAACAAAGAGGCTTCGGGTTTAAAGGTCATCGTAAGAGGGAAAAAATCAACTCGGTTAGCAAGCTTTGCCTGTTCCCGTTCATTCTCTCCAGGCATTTGTCATAACGTTTCATAGTATTCAACTTAGTGTTGCTTCTCCTCTTAGGTGAGAATAGCTCACACTAAGCAAATAGTAAACTAAAAAAGAATTAAACTCATTAAAGGAAAGAAAGGTCATTGGTTGGTTGCTGATCATGATTGAGATATTTCTGAGGTCTTTTGTTACTAAGTAAGTTCTTTACCCTTTGGCGTGACTAAACCATCCTTTTTGAAGAAAAAACTAAGGATTTACATATTTTCGGAGACCTTTCCTGATTTCGTTAATGATTCTGGCTGAACTGGGGAAAAATAATAAAAATTACGCTTCACTTATTTTACGAATGGTAGCTAACATGTTAACAGAGAAAGCTACCGATGTGACAAACGGGAATGTTTGCTAGACCGGAGTGTGCAATTAACAAGTTATAAATTTATCCGTCGGCCTTGTTATCAAAAAAGCAAAAAGTCATTGACGATTCTTTTATTTTGCCAAAGCCCCGGCTCACAAATCCCACTCCATTATTTTTGACAAGCAGGATAGAGGACTAAAAGCAGCCAATCACATATTGTAATATAAGAGGCGTGCATGCCAAGATATTAAACTTAGTCTTAACAGATGTAGTATGATGTCCTCGTGAAAATCAGGTGGGCAAAGTCGTGTTTACAATTTCGTTCACAATTGTAAACGGTAGTTCCATAGCGTATACCAAAGATGATTTTGACAAAGATTTCCATCGTAGTATTCCTACTAGTGAGGCTCTTTTTAACTTCTAATTGTCAATGTCCATCGCGAGACTGTGATGTCACGTCTTGGTCCTTCTGGAGTAGATGCACTGCAAACCAATGTGGGGAGGTAGGCGCTCAAAGTCGATCAAGAATGATAGTATCGAAGGCTTCTTGTGGTGGAACACAATGCCCTGACAACCTCTTCGAAACTCGTGAATGCTATGGGGGGAATCCAATTGATTGTAAACTGAGCAGATGGTCAGATTGGAGTGCGTATACAACTGCATGTGGCACATCAGGATCACAGTCCAGCTCTCGTCACCGAATTATTACCGAGCAGTGTGGCGGTACGTGCTCGTCCTCCCTCGCAAGAACACGATCCTGCTTACAGACCAGTTGTTTCAATGGAGGGAGTCTACAAAATGGAGTATGTCTCTGTCGAGCTGGATTTACCGGTAACTGCTGCCAAGGTAACTATTTAAAAAGAAGATAAATTATATAAAATAAAATAAAAGCCCCCTTACATACACACAAATGCATACACCATCGACCACATCTCAATTTTGAAAGCTTATTTTTAACAGAGAATTTTAGATCCAACCTTTCGTTTCAAATGTATTTAAAAACAATTGGACACAGTATTGAGGGACTGGATTTTTACTCAGGGAAATTACTCTAAAGTGGAATTAATCCCCAAGTTTTCTGAGCTTCGCACAATCGAATCGTAGAGGTCAAGTACACTCCCATAGATACATACTACTGACTTATAGAAATGTTTTTAGTCTAGTCGCGAGCGTGAGACAAAGAATAATTTCTGAGTCCCCCTCATGATGAGGAATCAAATCTCAGACCTTCGGATTCCGCGCTCCGATGCTCTACCACTGAGCCACACGCCTAGTGTTTGCCTCCGTTTACCCGGAAACGCAAAAATATTACGTCTGTTTTGCAGGCTTGGACATTTAATTCGTGACAAAAATTTCCAACCTCGTCTTAGGCGGAAATTTTAATTTTTTTTTCTTTTCTCGCGGCGTCGTGTGGCAAATAGGATTTCAATGCATGTATTAACGATAATGCTCGTTTCAACGAATAACAATGTTTTCTTAGATCTCTGCCTCTTGTCTAACATACACACTTTCATTTGAGCGAAAGTCAATATCAGAGGCATCTCTCTTACGATGTTAAATACATCCGCTGAGGTTGTCGAAACAGTTCTTTCAGGACTACACTAACCCGGACGATAAGACCACACGTTCGCATGTTACCCTCGGGTTCAGACCATTTGCTGTCTTTGTCACTGAACTAAAATTAGTCACTAATACTAAAAAGTAAAGTCTTTTTAAAATAGTAGAGCACCCTATTCTACAGATGATCCTTTAAGGTTTTCTTAAATTGCAATTTCTTGGGTTCTATGCAGAGGAAATATGCGATGGCCCTTCACCAGCAGTTGACTGCCAACTTAGTTCCTGGTCGGAGTGGGGTCATTGTTCGACAAATTGTGGTGTAGCAGGAAGACAGAATAGAACTCGTCACCGGATTATTTTCGAGAGATGCGGAGGTTCATGTCCCGGCGGATCTGACTTAACAATGACACGAGCCTGCCCACACATGTCTTGCTTTAATGGAGGAACCTTGATGAATGGAGCGTGTAGTTGCCAAGTGGGTTATACTGGTTATTGCTGCGAGAAAGGTAATTATACACAAATAAGGCATCGTTGAGATATAATTATAGACAATGTGTCTTCTTTAAAGGCTGAGAATGGTAGAAACTGTCGCAAGGGATACTTGGTAATCCATTCATGATTAAGATGGCAAAAAGTAAAAAGAAGAAGCAGAAGCATTGAATCCGATTTATCTAATAAGTGGGTCTCGCATGATAAGTTAGTTACCACTGTTGTCAAAATACAACAGTCCTGTCACTAGCATCGAGTAGATAAAATGAGAGAGTTGATACTGCGAAACGTGTTAGCGAAATACGTCGACGAATTCCAAGTAATTATTTCTTCAACTGCAAGCTCTCAGTTTTGCTCACCAAGGTCGGTATTTCAAAAGCAAATTCTACAAAAAGTGCACAATTTTCGTTTTATTGCTCGAGGCAATTAATAAATAGGCTTTTTTAAGAGGGAAGCAAGTGACATTTGTGAAGCTGATGACCCTGTCGCCCTGTGCAGCGCAGCAACGGTTTACTGACATTCGAATTACTTCCTTCTTGGTAAATTTATTTTGTGATTACTTATCATATTTCTTCTCCTTTACAGATCCAAGTAATTATAAAGACACAGGTCCAGGCGGACTTTCAGTCGCCCTTGGCGTATCGATATCTGTTGGTATAAGCCTCCTCTTTTGTTGTGCGTGCTTTTATTGTTGTTATCGTTGTTTTTCGGAGTAGTAAGGCCAAACCCTTAATGCTCTGATGAAATAAGTAATGAAAAGCCAACAGCGACTAAACTAGAATGTAACTCCGCTGTAATGGTAAGCTGGTTAGAGATCCCAATCAAATGATGGCACTATAGTCATTACGATTTATCAAAGTATCTTCGCCTAAAACAGTTTAGAACATAGCTAGCAGAGTCGCGCAATCAAATTCATTATACGTAAGCGTGCTCAAAATCCCGATAGTGCACGCTGATAGCGTCAGCAAATCCGACTTCGCCAGAAAAAATTTTTTTTCGCGCGAGCGGCCATTGCTAGTGCGGGGAAAAATAATACATTTCGCGACAATAATGGATACAAACAGAAACTCGGCCTGCTAGTCCGAAAACGAAGACAATGTTTCGACCTTTTCCCATGGGCTAGAGTTCTTAAATGAGGCAGAAAAAGAGAAAAACAAAGGAAAAGGAGACTCGGCATCAGCGCCGTCACGATTCGCTTCAACTGATATTGTTGTCCGTTTTTCGCGTCGCATTTGATGCACAATTCCACCGGCTATGTTCTAAAACAATTGGTTCATGCTTTCAGCTGTGCACTATCGAGTTATGGAGCACGTGGGAAGTTTGGAGAGCACTCAAGAAGCTAGAGTTGCCCTCGGCTATAGCCTCGGGCAACTCTTACGTTTCTTTCGTGCTCTCCAAACTTCCCGCGTGCTCCATAACTCGATAGTGCACGCTAAAGCATGAACCAATTGTTAATTAAAGCGGATAATCTTTTGAGCTGCTTTTTATCATTGAGGCGTAGCTTCTAGGTGGTTCTCGTTCATAGTTTTAGGATACTCTGCTCTTCGTCCTAAAACTCTGTATCTTTTACGCATCCTTATTGTGTGTTAACTTTTTTTTTTTACCGAGTAGTGCCATCGCACTTTTATAATGCACATAACAAGGAATGTCTTCGGTGACTCTTCATCCTAAATAAATGTTGACCTATAGAAAGTGCTTCACGAATCTACTCAATTAAACTTAAAGAAGTTTCAAGTGAATTCATAGTGCTCAATGAGCTAATAGAAGGCTAGTGAAGAATTGTTTTGTGTTTGTTACTTAGTAAATTGCATTTTTTATCTATAAGCAATCGAATGATCTCGAGAGCCATTCGGATTAGCAAAGATGAAAAAAGTCTTAGGGGCTTGATGCCCGAGTGCTTATCTTTTTTAAATTGTGTGAAAAAAATAATTTGATTTCTTCCTATGCGGGAATGATTTCATTTCTAACTTCTCTGCACTCACCTTCAATAATTTTGTGCCCTATTTCACCTCTATGATTTTTTAGTGGTTAATTTGCGTCATCTCAGCCACTGAGCATCATCAATGTAATCTACACAGTATTACATAACAAATAAAATTTCGTGCTCAAACAGCAATGTTGTCATACAAAAGACCAATCTTTCACAAGATCAGTTCCTATCGGGTGTAATATAAGTCTTTGTAGGAAGATGCAGGACATTTTTATTATTTTTTTTTTAACTGCACTTTTCAGGTGACCGGACCAAGTCATATCCATATTTCAGCCTTCCCTACCGCTCCAGCTAAAATCTCGGGATTATGTCGACAATTTAAGCAATAGTGAAAATCAGACCTGAAAAAAATTCAGGCCCGTACGGGATTCGAACCACTGACCTCAAGATAGTGCTTTACTGCGAAGGATCGTGCACATATACGTTTCATAACCGCAGTTCGTATATATGTATTTCATATGTTTGTTGTTGGATTTATCATCTACGGGTACATGTCGAGTTAATTTGATGGCCTGCTCCCAGTTGGCTTGTTAGCTCAATTGGTAGAGCGCTGCACTAGTATCGCAGAGGTCAGTGGTTCGAATCCCGTACAGGCCTGAATTTTTTTCAGGTCTGATTTTCACTATTGCTTAAATAGTGCTTTACTGCGAAGGATCGTGCACATATACGTTTCATAACCGCAGTTCTTATATATGTATTTCATATGTTTGTTGTTGGATTTATCATCTACGGGTACATGTCGAGTTAATTTGATGGCCTGCTCCCAGTTGGCTTGTTAGCTCAATTGGTAGAGCGCTGCACTAGTATCGCAGAGGTCAGTGGTTCGAATCCCGTACAGGCCTGAATTTTTTTCAGGTCTGATTTTCACTATTGCTTAAATAGTGCTTTACTGCGAAGGATCGTGCACATATACAATAGGATTAATACATGTGTGAGAGGCTAGTCAGTCCAGAACAATGGCAATTCAAATTGGACGCCATATTTGCATTCGGTGTATGGAGCCGATTTGTTATTCTGCTGGAAGGAAATAAGTTGTATTCACATTTTCCTTTTCAGAGAAAATTTTTGCAAATCTCGTTCCTTGTGGGTTTTTAGAACTTTGTAGAGCTTTTTTATGTAATCAGCACATTTAAACCACTGAAGTTTCATTTCGATCTGATTGTGCTAAAACTAAATGATATACCGTCATTATAAAACTATGTACATCAACAATAACTGATACATCTTTTGTCTCCAATTTTTTTCCACCTACTTTGTCTTTATTAGTTCTATACAACTCACGCTAATTGCATTAAGGTGTAATTGCCTTTTGCTTTGGTAATTGGATGGTGAAAATGAACGTTGCAAATTCAAGAGATGTTGAACTGCAATTAAAAAATCTTTTAATACCCTCTCTGTTAACTCTCCTCCCAATAAAACGCCGTTATGATATTACTAACTTTAGTAGTTAAATTATCAGCCATCAGCAATAACACCACATTGAAATGGAAACACATGTATGTTTACGCCTTTGGCTACAAATTAATGGTTCAGTTGCAAACTAAGCATGTTGCACGTGACACTCTCTTGACAGTTGCAAAAGGCTGACTGTGACCACAGATACCACCTGATAAAATATTTTTTTTATCTGCATGAAACACAAACGAGAAGTTGTGTTACCCCTCATGAATGTACTACATATCGGACGAGGGAAGCAGACGTCAACAAAAATGGTTTAGTTAACCATGATAACCATCTTAATCGGATTTCACTCTATTGGACGCGAAGCGGAAAATAGCCAGTGACATTCTTTATTGTTCAGTAAAATGTCAAAATTCAACAAGATTTATGGCTGTGTTTACACCAATGACTGAATTTATATGTTGGCAATTACACCAATCAAGATTGAACTCTTTGTAATCATAGAATTAAATAAACATCGAAAAGTCCTATTTATGTCGTCTACAGACATTCCATTAATAAGAGCCTCAACCAAATCGCCACTGTAGTGATTCTCAGTTCTCTCGAAATATGAAATCATCTAAACCCGTCATTGCCTTGATGTTGGTAGTGTTGATTACCTTGATTTCTAATTCTGACGCTTGGTGGAGTCGCCGACGTCGTCGAAGATGTCAAGTAGACTGCAGAGTCAACTCTTGGTCGTCTTGGAGTCAGTGCACTGCCGATAAGTGTGGAGAGCGAGGCTCTGAAACTCGAACAAGGAGAGTAGAAACTTCACCGAAATGTGGAGGAAAGGAATGCCCAGAGCTTCGCGAAACCCGGCAGTGTTACTCTTCTAAAGAAGTTAACTGCGAACTCAGTTCCTGGTCTAAGTGGAGCGCTTGCACAACCAAGTGTGGAGTATCAGGAATACAGACCAGTATTCGTCACAGGACAGTTGTAGAGCAATGTGGAGGAAATTGCTCATCTATTTTGTCCAAAACAAGATCCTGTCCTGAAATCAGCTGCTTGAACGGAGGAAGCGTGAATGATAAAACATGCATCTGCAAGGATGGCTATGAAGGAGAATGCTGCGAGAACCAAGGTAAGTCTGTTTAAGAATGTGACTGGTTTGCAAATGAGTATTTTGGAACCAAGCACATCCCACTATGTGCATTTAAATTCCATATGGTGAAGTCACTTTTACTTTCTTTTTTGAATAAGCACAATCTAACAGTTGAGCGAAATTCGAATAAGCCCGACGGCAGTGCTTGTGCAGTGTTACGGGTTTTCAGGCAAACTTTTTCTTAGCTCAGACTAGTGGAATATCCGTGACTCTTGGCAAACAGATTTGTTTCAACCGCACGTCACCAACGCAAGACGCACAAACGCACTCACTCTCGATAAAATAAAATTGTGAAGTTATATTGCGCAGTTTCCATGACGGGATGATCAACTGCGCATAAATTTCCCCCCTTAACTCCCGATCAAATTTCCCCCCTTAGCTCTGACTGTAGCAGGCTTTATAATCAACTCACCCTCCTGGAGGAAAATCTAGGCCCTTAAGACCGCACAAGGGTGCAGTTGAGCAAACTAGCTAGACTGTTGAGCCTCACTTTACTTAACTTATTACTGGCTTTTTAACGAAGTACTTCCCGTCCGACTCTGCTAAAAAATTTCGAACTTTGGGATAATTATTTTTTCTTTCATGAAGGAACTGCTCTCGACCTGTAAAGTTCGAGAAATATTGTGTACTTCTTATTACGAACCTTAAGTCACATTTCCGTTAGAGCTCTGTACCTTTCAATTGATTATTGATTTTCATAAGCCATAATCGTGGCTTTATCATGATGCGCGACAGCCCTATCGAAAAAGTGTTTAGTTCAATCCTTGGCTAGAATTGTGCAATCCTTATGCTGTTACATAACGAGAAAAGATGTTGCTTCCAAGTTGTCTCTCAGATTTTAGGTCAAACTTACATTTTTACGGCATTTTTAAATGACTGAACGGTTGAGAAGCAAACATAAAGAGACCCATAGAATTGCAAAGTTATTTGGCAGGTCACGATTCAGATCGTAAATCATGCCTTTGTGATACATCATTTCCATCAAGACCTCTCGAGAGTTACAAACGAAATGTGTGCTGAATTGATTTTAGCTTAGCCAGTCCTAATAGAACGTCACTCGGTGTTAATTTTCCTGTCTTTCGTTCTCTCTTTTTGCGCATGTTTCAATATTTACAGTCCAGTACATTTTCTTTGCTTCACGGGTGACTTTATAGAGAGTTAAAACTCTCTGTTCAATTATGTCTATGATGATTCTAGATATCTAGCAAAAGCCCTCTGGCTTCCTACAGGGCTTTTATTTTCTATAGGACGTTATGCATTTAAATATGGACTCTTGAAGCACACTCCTTTCTCATTGTGTTCGCGGTTTGAATGAAAGCTTGTGAATAAATCTAGACAAATCACATGCCAATAGGTTTGCATGGTGGTGGCTCACGGGAAAAATTGCGGATGCTTTTCTCAGAAACCATCATAATCATGGCTGAAGAAGCGCCAATGATATTTCTGGGTTAGAGCTGGTTATTCGACTTTCCAGTTGTCGTTAGTTTGTTTTCGCGTTCTGAGTTATGAGAGCCTTTCACTGAAAATTTTGGTCCAACAAGCGTGTTTTTAATAATTTTATCGCGATTTACAATCTAGTAACGTAAACATACCTCTATACACGCGCGTAATATGTACTCGCTAATATTTGAAAATGGGGGTGTTCAACCTCGAACATTTCGTCCATTAAAAATCCAACAACATTTCGTGCATCGCCTGACCTTGTTAAGAAAACATCTTCTACTAGCAAGAAGTTTGAAAGAAGTAGTTAAGTCCGAGAAAGTTTAAGACTTAAAGGCGCGCATGTATCATATGTCTTTCGATAAATCGCCGACGCCGGACGAGAAGCCATCAAAACAACTGAATACCACTTCCTTTCCCACCTATACCTACTTGCACGCCCACCCTCCTTACTCATTGACTTGACCACTTGCATACTACGGATATCGTTGCCAGGAAAGTCTTTTCCCTTTCCCTCCTAGGATCGAAACATTAATTCACCAAACTATATATCTGCCTATGATGTTAGTTTGAAGAATTCATAGTATTGGATATACTAAATATATCTTATTAGACGTTTTGTTGTGTAGTATCGCTGAGTATTTTTACGAGTTGTGCCGTATTTTGACGACCCCGTAGGGCGAGTCAAAATACAAATAACGAGTAAAAATACTCAGCGATACTACACAACAAAACGTCTTATAAATTATTTATTATCCAACACGCCAAACTGATATTTCAGTGCGGGCGAATTTTTCGCATATTTATTTACGAGGAGTGCGTGACAGAAGTATGCGAAGCGGAACGGAATTGGCGCGTTGTGTTGCTGTTTCTATTTTCTTCATTACATAAAGAAATTTTCTGGTCGTCAAGCTGTTTTTCTTTGTTCTATTCATCTAATAAACTTGGATCTATATTTGCCAGCCATTCTGAATCTTCGTCGTCGGAAATATGATTCAAATTGTCCGCCACTTTTTTTTTTCGTAACTACAATCCAATTCTTCGCCTGCGCGAAGCGAGAAAACCTGTTTAACCGGTATAATTTGGATATATCAACAAAGTTGAAATGGTAAATTAGCCACCGTAATGATTACAAAAGCTGACGTTTCGAGCGTTAGCCCTTCGTCGGAGCAAATGCTCCGCTCCGACGAAGGGCTAACACTCGAAACGTCTGTTTAACCGGTACTCTACAATAGACGAGTACAAATACCGCGTGATATTTGTACTCGTCTATGGCGTTATTTGTACTCGTCTAAGTGTAGTTGGATAATAATTTCCCCTTATTTTTATTTTTCTTTATACTAATCACTTGTCTGCCTGATAATGCATTATAATAATACTAAATAATAATTATATTTATCCAGCCCACTCGCCTTGGCGGTTTTCAGTGAGGCCCTGCAAATAATAAAATAAAATTACCTGGGAAAAAAAATTGATTTTACAATATTAAATTAATTTCAGAATAACTCAACATTGAGAAAGCGCATTAGTTAGAAACTTTTAAGCTTTGCCTTAAAGAGGTACATTGATTTGCTGTTTTTATTGTCATTGTCTAAGTTGTTCCAGTCCTTAGAGGCTTAACATTTTTATGTTATCAAGGAGAAATTCTTTGTTGGTTATCATGGGAGCAAAAAAGTCCTCGCTTCAAAAGCAGTCACTAACGAATGTTAAAAATTACTCCTGTCGGTCTAAGAGTTAGACGGAGTGAGAATTTTGAAAAGCAGTCAGCTCATCCCTGAGTGAATTTTCTGCCAAAATCTCCCCGAGATTTTCTCTAATCGTTTTTCTCTCCCATTACATACTTATACAGTTGTGTTGCCACATTGTGTTGGAATTCCACCGACTGACTGTCAACTTACCTCCTGGTCTCAGTGGGGAGCATGTTCGGCAACGTGTGGGGAAACAGGAACACAGGTTAGTCATCGCTACCGAACAACTACGGAGAAATGTGGAGGTACATGTTCCGGAGGATCCAACTTGACTATAACACGCGCCTGTTTTCAGATTACTTGCTTAAATGGAGGAAGCTTAAAGAAAGGACAATTTTTTTGCAAAGAGGGATACACCGGTGTTTGCTGTGAAGAGGGAGGTAATTAAAATAGATTTAGTAGTCAAAACTAGGCAAAATTACACAACAATTGTACACAACGTGTTACAAAAAAAGCAGCATTAAGTAGTTATTTTTTTTATGTGAGGGTCTCAATTGGAAAGGTATGACAGTTGAAAAAATAATTTTTTGTCAGCTCAACCAATTTAGCAAGAGAACGAGCTTGACCAACGGTTGGCTGTTAAGTTAGAGGAACAGCTAAGTATCACGCCAAAACACTACAGCAGAATCACTGCTGGCAAGGCTTTAAGATGGCTCCACAGAGTTTTAGCTTGATTATTACACGCGTGCCGGTGTTATGTTTTTGTGAGGAACTTTTGCTGTTTTATTTAGAAAACAATGGTCGAAATCTTTCTCAGTTTATCACAGAATGGGAGATTTTGTCTTGCCGATCGTTTTTAAGGTGGAAAAATATACAACCTTTTCCCCTGAGGGATGCGAAACGGCAGTTTTTTTCTTGTTTGCATTGTTGATATTCTGCCTCTACTAAGAATTGCTGCAATGAAATGTTTTCACTAATTGGCGATAGGAAGGGTACATATGTGTTTGACGCTGCATCAAATCTTAGAAAACTTTACGGAGGGAAACGTCATGAATCTCACTCCTTACTCTCAAAACATTAATTACTATAAATATCGAGGCATAAGCATGCGTAAACTTTCGAATCTGTTGCGATCTGTCTGCTTTACGCAATCTTGACCCCACGGTGTCCATAATATTTACACCGAATTGTAGGTAACAATCGTGTGATCGTATCGGGCTGCCATGGTTTTTTGCGTGTTGACATTCTTAATTTAAAGCTCGCGCCATGTTCACGTTCAGATCTCGCGTGGTCAAAATCCCTATGGAACCTCCTCAAGCCCAAAACTCTTTAACCCAAGGTACTACGCCCTTACTGGTATGTTTCCCAATTTTTATTTTGTCAAGGCATCACTTAAATCTTTATTTTTATGCTATGTACATTTGCATTCTTTCACTATAGATGCATTTCCTCCACCAAATGGGGAAAAAGCAGGAGTTGTTTTATTACCCACGGCATTTTTTGTTTTTGGAATCATTGTCATCATCATCAAAGTCATCAAAAAGAGCAACCAACCAATCAACCGTGTCGCCGTGACTGGGAACAACGCTGGTACTGTGGTTAACGTTGTCAAAACAGGATAAAAATATGTTCACCGCCATAGAACGGCGAGGTGATAAGCTATTACAGTTTTTTCCTGGACTAAACCCTCGCGTTTTGTTACAAGTAGTACTAAAAGCTAATCACCGAAGTGGAGGTGGATTGTGGTGGATATTTACCTCACGGCGAAGCGGCGAGGTAAATATCCACCGGTAGCCAATGATTGAGGTAGTTCTTTTGTTATACTCTTAGTAGTTGTTTTAATGAACACTAAATCAGTGCGATAATTGAGTTCAAATGGATGATTTTAACTCATGCATTTATTCCTGAAACGATTAGACCATTTTCGGGCATAAATCCCGCGGGAGTTGCTCGGAGATGAATGGCAAAGGATACACGAAGTTTGAGTAGCCAATCAGAGGTCGCCTTCAGCACTATCTTCTCTTTTACTATATTATAAATACCGGTATTTGGATGAACAAGCACTGACTAATAACGACGTTTGGAATAATAAAGCCTCTGACAGCTTAACGTTAAAAGGGTTAAAATTAAAGCTTGCAGGAAGGTTCATAAATTGCACTAAGCCATGCTTGCTAGGAGGCAAGCTGAATTAGAGCTAGAGCATGTATTTATGTTAGACAGGCTTAATTGATTAAAACAGGGCTCTCAAACTTTCATATTAAATATTCGTGCGTGAATTTTTCAAAAGCTCAACCATTTACACGTGACTAATTTAGCTGATGCATAGCTAGAATATAAGTTTCCAGCGTTTGTCATTTGATGACCTATTCCGCGGACGATAACTTTCAAAGAGTTGTATTTTCTCACTCGTTTACATCACAATGGCTATATTTCTTGTCAGATCGATATCAATGCCGTAGCTTAAGTCAAGAACAGAAAATTCTGCTTAAATAGCATATCAAATGAGGGTCTCAATGGGTTCAGTCGTTAGCCGTATAAAGGCCAAACAAATTTCAACAGTTAGTTGTAATAAGAGTTGACTGTAAAAAATTTTTGGCAACAGCAATCGAAAGACATAAACAGGTAACCGTAATTTGGCCAAAATTGTAACCGTTAGCCGTAAAAGCCATCATCTCAGTAAGACCCTCTCTTATCACTGGACAACCTGTAAAGTAGCTGGTTAACTGAGCTGAGCTTAAACTCCATGTTAAATAAAAGAATCTTATCTTATCTTATCTTATTTGGTTACTTTTCTATCTTTTTTATTTACTGAGAAATGGCATTTAGTTGGGAAATACAAAAACACTCCTATTCGCTGTTAGAACTCCCCCGTAAACCACGCTCTAATTACGGTCATCGTGGTCAAACTTTATACATATTTAGTGTTCAGGCTTTAAAACCAAACAACTTACCCTTGTTTTTCTCTTGTATAGCGCCCCTATACCTTTGGATTGAGAATGGTGTCATTTTAGGGTGGACCATCTTAGTATTGACCCCACATACAAAGTGTATTGAAGTCTGACTAAACTTGTTCCATGAACTGATACAAGGCTGGTAAAGAGTTGTTTTTTGTGTTTTTGTGCCCGATTTCAACTTAATGATCTGTTAGGAATTTATTTGCGTTCTCTCAGCCATTGAGCCTGTCAAAATGTTTGCAGGTACATCATTAAATATTTTTACTGATGAAACGATTCAATTTTTTGCCTTAGTATGTATGATATTCTTGGAGTGCCAAATCGTTTTATCCCCCAAACCTTTGATCCCTTATAGTGACTAGCATCTAATTTCTCCTTAAGGATCACCCCTGAATCTCAAATAATGGTTATAGAATAAAGGAGATTATCACCCACTAAAGAAGCTCTCGATTGCTAAACAAATTCTCCTTGTCAACACCTTAAGACAGGTGAGAAGAATTTGCTACCTTTCTATAACATCAAGAAATGGTTAGATATTCTAGTCTTCTCGGATAGGGACGAACAAATGGAGGTCCCGTCGACTGCAAGGTTAGGGGCAGGAGATGTTAGTTTCCCACGCACGAGTTTACTGTGTGATGGATGTCCTCCCCTGGGGTGGTTGCTGGGTGGGAATTGGCCCTGAAAAGCCCCCATGGGGAGTGGTCAATTGACATATGTATGTATGTATGTATATGAAATGTATAATGAACAGTATGGAGAACTTGCATACTGATGTTAGGGTGTAAAAGGTGAAGAGGCCGAAGAAAAGTCTTGATGTAATCATTCAATAACCACGGGTCTCATCAGGTGGGTAGTAGCCAAATAACATTATTGCAAGGAAACTTCTAGCCGTGGACATCCAGCCACAGTTAATAATTCTTACTAAACTTACCGCGCAGCAAACACGGAATGCGGAGTCCAGGTTGGGCAACAGTCGTTTGTCTCAAACATTTTATTTAACGAGCCTTACATAAGACGAAGCTCAAATTCTGATGGTTTAGTTGATAGAAACTCTACGCATTATATTCATTAAGTCTCGTTGACATTTTGAGATACGCATGTTCGTCAGGTGGATAGCATTTGATTGGCTGTTTCAGGTCTCAAGGGCTCAGAAGGTGATCACTTTTTCTTAGTTGCTCAAAACAAACTCATTGCTCTTCTAGAGAATCTGTTTTTTCCCCAGATCTCAACTTCAGATTGGTTTTTCACTGAGTTAGTGAGTTAGAATGTCTACAAGATAAGTGATCCTTTCCTATTTCCGGAATCAAATTCGGGAACGATCACACAAACAAAAGCAAGTCTGGCTAAGCAACTGAGAGGGCCTTTGTTTCATGTAACAACACGAAGGTATGTTTCCAACCTGATCCTTGTTTTTCTGAATTCAGGGAGAAATATGAATGAAATACGTTAAGGTATACCATTGTAAAAGGACTAATTAAATAAGGTCTACTATAAGAGCGTAGAATCTAGATGAAAGTCGACGTGAAGAATAAATATATTCGTTGCCATAGGATAACAGGGTTTCTTTTGAAATATACGTCACTTAAATAAATAAAAGTGGCTAAGTCCAAAATTCTGCTTGTGATGCTGCTATGACTGTAATCCTCTTAGATAAGAAAGCACACATTGCAAAATACTAATCTTGAGTTGATGTGATTGGGCAGTAAAAATCCGTAAGATCTATTATTACTAGTGACATATTTGATAAAAATTCTGAGGCCTGCTTGTGCGTAGAAAGTCATATAATGTGTCAAATCTTTAATCCTCTTGTCTTTAAGCCGTTCAAAGTGGACCCAAACGTGGAAGGCTAATTAATTTTCCTTTTAACAACTAAGTTCAAAAACTGACTTTTCGAGCGTTAGCCCTTCTTTAGAGCAAATGTTTGCAATTTGAGTGTTCACCTCTCTGTTATTGGTAAAAAAACCAGATTCATTTTGTTAACATAACCCAACTGCACGTGGCAGTATCTATTCCTCACGTCTCGCCAGTAGATTACATTTAATTTACAACTTCCTCTCCATGATAGAAATCCGTTGTTGAATCCCGAGAAAGGAAGAAATCGTTTCTTAGAACACGCTGAAACAGAACCACTTGTATTTACTACAATTCCTATATATCAACATGCCATTTATTATGCACTGCAACTCACAAAATCCTTATCAATTAGTGAATATCGCTCAACAAATTCTATGAATGAATATGGTCTCTTTGCTTTTTGAACGTCTTGACTTTGAAAGTCTTGACTTTGAAATGTCATCACAAACTTTCGCTGAAGTTCTTCAAGGAAACAGAAAACCAAAACAGCTGGATAGGTTCCTTTACAGACAGCCAAGAAACAAACCCCAACAGCTGCATTCACAAAGCTAAGAAATAAAAAAAAACACACACAACACTAAAAAACCTTTTATTTACTACTCAATGGAACCACATTTTCCCCATATTACCTTCCCAATCCTCACCTTAAAATTTAAGCATTGTACTGAATCCTTTCAGCTCTAAGAGTGACCAGCATCTAATGTCACTTTACAATATCTCCCCTAAATCAGACAATGAAGTCTAGAGAAACAACTTTCCTTCGTCTTAAGCGTGGGGAAACACGTTCTTTTCTCACATTACTTACATGTATTCATCGCACTAGCAACTTACTATATCATATGTTTTCCACATTGCATGGAACATCTAGTAGGATAATGATTAGCCTTTCTTGCTGAACTTTTGGCAAGCCTCTTGCTTTCTATATCAGTAAGCTCAAAATGCATGTCGAGGTCGGTGGAAGGCATTCCATCTGAAACACGCGTAATCATCGCGAACAGAACCATCGTGAACAACAGATGATGTCTTAAAGCTACCGACTAAAATTGCGTAATTAATTTGTTTCTATTTAGCTGAAAGCCTACAGATCGCGATTTCTCAAGGAGACCGAATTAATTTTTGTTTGTCGGCCATATTGGATTTCAGCTTGATCCCGCGGTGGTGTCAGTGGTTATGTAAATTGTTTGTAAATTTCTCATGATGTGCACTTTCTAGTGAACCGAAGGGATAGAATATGGGGGGGGGGTAGGAACAGCTTCCCATGCACGTTTATTTTCATCTGCCCTTCGTGCGGGTTGAGATAAAATTTGTTTCTAATAGAAGTATATTGATGGTCATGATAGGTCGTATACAGTGGAACCTCGATTTAACGAAGTGCCAAGGGACTGGAGAGATTGGCTCGTTATATCGAGGTTACCTCAGTTATGTCGAAAACCTCGATTTAACGAATTTGCGGAAAAACAACTAAAATTTTCGTTATATCGAGGTATGGTCAATAATTTTTATTCTTTTTTTCGGGTGTGTGTGGTGTGAAATTGTGCTTAATGTCTATATGAAGCTACAATACACTGTACAGGTCTGTACATCGCTACAGCAACGGAAACTAAACGGGTCAACAAAATTTTAACAACTGCAACTGGTTTGTCAAATGTCATAAAGAAAAGGTCAATGAATAACGCAATCGAAAAGAAACTTTAAACAAAAGAAAACCACTTTACTACAAAATTGCTAATCAAGACACCCAATCAAACATTCTTCCGATGAAAATTTGCCTCATTTTTTGTCATTCTTTACTTCACTACTAAAATTGCTAATCAAGACGCTTAATCAAAATTGTTTTCTAATTGCTTCATATTTTGCCTTTCGTTAAAATGCGCCTTTCATTCAAGAGAAAGGGCACGGAAATTCCCTTTCTTTTGTGCGTGACTTATCAAATGTCATAATAAACATGAAAAGTGTGTACATTATTAAACAGAACACTACTGAAAAGTACTGCACTGTTGGTCTGTTTCGCATCTGTCTTTGGTCAGGTGTTGAGATTTGTTCGTTATATCGAGGTATCTGTATACGTTTGGGCTTCTGGATTGTGTTTGTTATAACGAGGATTTCGTTATATCGAGGTTCGTTCAATCGAGGTTCTGTGGCGTACAGTTTACTGTAACTTTAGCCGGGCTGAAAAGTATCATTCGTTATACCGAGGACTTCATTATACAGAGGTTCGTTAAATCGAGGTTTCACTGCACCATAATTTTTAGACTGATCACGTATATTGGTTACCCTCAGTCATAACTTTGTGGAAAATTTTAGTTGAACTTTAAGATTTAATCTATATCTTTTTTTTTTATTCCTTAGAATATCGCTGATTAAATTCAATCTCAGAAGCGACAGACTATGGGGTGCCATTACCGCCAGTATTCAGCTACTGTTTTTTTTAATAAAATGGTGCTTAAGATGTGAAGCCAATTATGTATTATGCAGCTTATCATTTCATAAAATGGTGCTTTAAAAAAAAATATGGAGCACTTTCTATGAAGCCAATTAGGCTTATAACGAACAAATGTCAACACCTGACCGAAGACAGATGCGAAACAGACCAACAGTGCAGTACTATACAGTAGTGTTCTGTTTAATAATGTACACACTTTTCATGTTTATTATGACATTTGACAAGTCACGCACAAAAGAAAGGGAATTTCCGTGCTCTTTCTCTTGAATGAAAGGCGCATTTAACGAAAGGCAAATTATGAAGCAATTAGAAAATAATTTTGATTAAGCGTTTATAAAAAACAGTCGCTGCATATTGGCGGTAATGGCACTCCATAATAGAGTCATACGTTCTCACAATTTCGCCTCTGCAATTGATTTTTTTAAAATTTTCAATCAGCAAGGCATTTTGTTAGTACAATTAGTTTATATTTAGATTTTTATATAGTTTATTTTTTCTGCAAATCACTTTTCTTATAACCAATTGTAATGGCATAGTTTTCGTCTTTGATTTCATAGCCGATTGTAAATAGGTTCTTAGGCCGTCCACAGACTAGGGATTTAGTTGTCGACAACTAAAAAACCTAGTCTGTGGCGCAAGTTGTCGACAACTAAACCGCAAATTATTAGTTGTCGACAACTAAGCAGTTTCCCTTTTCGAAAAGGGAAACTGCTTGGTTGTCGACGGCCTCATTTTTTAGCGTTTTTCTAGTGTGTGAAAACTTTTGTTTTAGTTGTCGACTACTTTTAGATCTCCGCGCTATTGCGTCAGCGGCTTTCCCAGCCGGATTAAAACATGGAGGATTGCAGAAGTAAAATACTCGGTAAAGAAAACATTCTTTCTGATCTTTCTTCTCCACATCCTGTTCTTGGAGGTGGAAACGACACTAACAATGTCATTATTGCGGCAGCTTGTGCCCACCAACAAGTTCTGGTGCAGGATATTTTATCCAAAAGGATTGAACGGCAAATTTGGCGTAAAAGTTCGTTCGAGGGAATTTTGATCAACGTGCCGTTGAAACTGGAATGACGGCGATTTTATCACCAATTTGCGAGTAGACAGGGGTACGTTTCTTCTTATTGTTGAAAGATTAATCCCTTATATTCACCGAGAAACGAGAAGAATGAGGCAGTCCATTGATGTCGATGAAAGAGTTGCTATATGTATGGCGTTATGGCGATACGGAGAATGCACAGTAAGCTCTTGGTGCCCAACCTCCCCGTGTATCGGCTGCTAAATCAGTATTTGAGCGCCAGTGTGGGGAATCCCCTTATCGGACTTATTTAGTTGTCGATAACTTTTAGTGGTCGATAACAAATAGTTGTCGACAACTAAATCCCTAGTCTGTGGAGGGCCTTATTTTGCATTTATTGCAATGTTTGTAACGTGCATTTGATTATTTCTTTATAGAAAATGCGCAATATAAATATCAATTATTGTTATTATTATTATTATTATTATTATTATTATTATTATTTAACTGACAATAAGTTAAGCCGAATAACAGACCACTTCACATTTTTCAGTTAAACACATCAGCTCCAAAGATGCCTTTTTCTCTTCCTACATGCTTTAAACAAAGAGGCTTCGGGTTTTTAGGTTATCGTAAGAGGGAAAAAAACAACTGGGTTAGCAAGCTTTGCCAATACCCGTTCATTCTGTCCAGGCATCTGTCATAACGTTTCATAGTATTCAACTTAGTGTTGCTTTTCCTCCTTAACGTGAAAATAAAACACTGTAAAAAAGTATTGAACTCTTTCAAGGAAAGTAAGGTCATTAGTTGGTTATATCAAATAACCGACTACGATTTTAAAAGCGCTGATCATGATTGAGATATAAGTTCTTTACCTTTTGGCGTGACTTTAACATCCTTTTTGAAGAAAAAACCGCAAGGATTTACATATTTTCGGAGACCTTTCCTGATTTCGTTAATGATTCTGGCTGAGCTGGGGCAAAAATAATAAAAATTACGCCTCAATTATTTTGCGAAAGGTAGCTAACATGTTAACAGTGAAAGCGACTGACGTTACAAACGGGAAATGTTTGCCAGACCGAGGTGTGTAATTAACAAAGTTATAAACTTATCTGTCGGCCTTGTTATCAGAAAGCAAACGGTCATTGACGATTCTTTTATTTTGCCAGGCCCCGGCTCACAAATCCCATTCCATTGTCTTTGACAAGCAGGATAGAGGACTGAAAGTAGCCAATCACACTTTGTAATTTAAAGGCGTGCATGCCAAGATATTAAATTTGGTCTTGACAGATGTGGTATGATTTCCGCGTGAAAATCAGGTGGGCAAAGTCGTGTTTACAACTGCATTTACAATTGTAAACGGTGGCTCCATAGCGTATACCAAAGATGACTTTGGCAAAGATTTCCATTCTAGTATTCCTGCCAGTGAGGCTCTTTTTAACTTCTAATTGTCGATGTCCAGCGCGAGACTGTGATGTCACGTCTTGGTCCTTCTGGAGTAGATGCACTGCAAACCAATGTGGGGAGCTAGGCGCTCAAAGTCGATCAAGAATGATAGTATCGATAGCTTCTTGTGGTGGAACACAATGCCCTGACAACCTTTTCGAAACTCGTGAATGCTATGGGGGGAATCCAATTGATTGTAAACTGATCACAGTCCAGCTCTCGTCACCGAATTATTACCGAGCAGTGTGGCAGTACGTGCCCGTCCTCCCTCGCAAGAACACGATCCTGCTTACAGACCAGTTGTTTCAATGGAGGGAGTCTACAAAATGGAGTATGTCTCTGTCGAGCTGGATTTACCGGAAACAGCTGCCAAGGTAACTATCTAAAAAGAAGATAAATTGCATAAAATAAAATAAAAGCCCCCTTACATACACAAAATTGCATACACCATCGACCACATCTTAATTTTGAAACCTTATTTTTAACAGAGAATTTTAGATCCAACCTTTCGTTTCAAATGTATTTAAAAAATATTAGACACAGTGTTGAGGGACTGGCTGGATTTTTACTCAGGGAAATTACTCTATAGTGGAATTAATCCCCAAGGTTTCCGAGCTTCGCACAATCGAATCGTAGCGGTTAAGTACACTCCCATAGATACAGACTACTGACTTATAGAAATATGTTTTTCGTCTAGTCGCCAGCGTGAGACAAAGAATAATTTCTGAGTCCCACCGCATGATGAGGAATCAAATCTCAGACCTTCGGTTTCCGCTCTTCTATGTTCTTCCACTGAGCCACACACCTAGCGTTTGCCTCCGTTAATCCGGAAACGCAAAAATATTACGACTGTTTTGCAGGCTTCGACATTTAATTCGTGAGAAAAATTTCCAACTTTGTCTTAGGCGGAAATTTTAATTTTTTTTTTCTTTTCTCGCGGCGTCGTGTGGCAAATAGGATTTCAATGCATGCATTAAAGTGCACCTAAACTCAAAATTTTTTTTTTTCGCTTAACGAAATAAGCGTATTTTTTGGAGTATTTCTGTGCAAACATTTTTTTATTTGCTCAAATCCTCAATTGTCTGTGCCCAGTCAAAATACGGAAAATCGGCCGCCATCTTGCCCCACGGCCGAGTTTAAAGAGGAATGGCTCTAGCGGGTAATGTGACGTCAAATCGAGAACACGAAAGTCTGCATTTCACACATTTTCGCTTGTTT